CAAATTATTCAGTTGACTTTTTTTTTTTTGAAGGTCTACTATTTATTTACAAGGCTCTGACAGAGATGCCTGGTATAAAATGAGTAATATTTCTCTGTTGAATATAACAATCTATTGGGAGGCACCTATATAAATAGAGAATTAAACAAAGAAGCACAAGTACCTTGGTTGGTTCTCTGCACCCTAAGTTCTGTAGTTAAAATTGACCAGAGATGGAAAATATTTGTTTTAAAAGTACATCTACACTGAGCTTGTATCGACTTTGTTTGATCATTGTTCCCTAAAGAATACTGAACACCAACTATTTGCATAGCATTTACATTGCATTATGTATTATGCTATCAAAAGGTGATTTAAGATATACACTGGATGTTTGCATATTATAAGCAGATACTATGCCATTTTATATAAGGTACATAAGCATCTGCATTTGTGGAGTTTGGTATCTATGGGGAATCCTGGAACCAATCTTCTGCAGATACTAAGGGCTCATTATACTGTGATAAAGGAATGTTGGGGAGCTTGGGTGAGAAGAATGTATCTAAATTGATCTGTGTCAAAGAGTACTGGCTGTAGATGTGACCTGACCTGAATTTAGATGGTGATGTCTTATTGGAGTCAATAATGGGAAGGGCACTCCAGTTACAGGGAGCATCACTTCTTAGATATGGTGTCATCTACCACCATGCCCCACAAACTGAGAACTCTAGATACAAAGCAGAGTGAAGTTGTTAAAATGTAAGGTCTTAGACAACAAGCCATTGATTCAGTGCAAGGAGGTCAGCAGCGGCAGGGAGAAGCAGGCAGATGCAAGTGGGGAGGGAGCACACAGAATTCTGGAGATCAGAAAATAGGATTGGGAGGGAGGGGTCTCTGATCCTAAAAGAAAAGCCTTTTTTTTTTTTTTTTTTGTACTGAGAATTGAACTCAGGGGCACTCAACCACTGAGCCACATACCCAGCCCCAATATGTATTTTATTTAGAGACAGAGTCTCACTGAGTTGCTTAGCACCTGGCTTTTGCTATGACTCGCTTTGAACTCGCCATCTTCCTGCCTTAGCCTCCAGAGCAGCTGGGATTACAGGCGTGCGCCACCACGCCCAGCCAGAAAGGCCACTTTTACTGCTGCTGCAGTTCATGTGTTGGATATAGGCAATTTCTTCTTGGCAGGTATATGTCCAGAAACCTGCGATATTTGAGTAGGCTTTGTGTGATCCTCCCTTCACCTTTTAAGAACCTGCGAATGACGCCCTTTCTTAAACTACCTGAAACTTCTGTATGACGTTAGTGAAACATTAGAGTAGCTAGAACTCAAAGTTATCAACTGCCACAATACTTAGAATCATAAATATGATGACCAAAGAGGTAAGAAAAACAGTAAAAAGAAAAAAAAATGTAGTACAGGTATATCGGATGAACTATTAAGTAGCCCAAAGAAAATGATAATTCTGAAAACTGCAGTATATAAAACCCTATTAAAAGCAATCAAGATTCAAACCTGGATGAAAAGAATATTCAGATGGAAAAATACAAAGCTATTGAAGCTATTCTTTTCTCTTTTGTTCATGTTTTATATAACATTCTTAAATTAATCTTATATGTTTTTTTTTTTAATCTAAAGAAACCTAAGGGTGAAATGTGTGTCCTGATTAGAGCAGAGACAAAAAATGACCCTAAATAAATAATAGCCCCCTTGATGTGTTTGTTTCTCCCATGAAAATTCAGTTTTCTTCCTAATTGCATCACAGTTCGTGTGGTATATTCATTTTGCTCGTTAGGTCTGTCCTCAGTCTCCCCCATGAGCACACCCCCTCACTCCCTGGATCTGTGGGAAGTATTGTGATGTCTGCCCGCTAATTTTGCTGTGACTGGGGCTGGTGTCTGGTTGGTGATTCATGTTTGTTCCAAAGTCGTACATCTGTGTTGGTTGCTTTGAAACAGTGCCCCAGGGAATATGAAAGGCCATTTGTCTCACTAAGACTGCTTCTTTGCACCAGAGAATTCTTCCCTGGCTTCCTCTAAATTCCAGCAATCTCCCCTATGAGTTTAGGCAGGGTAAGGGAGAAAGAAAACAAGCCCAAACAGGAATGACATGGAGGGAGTTTGGGTACCTGGGTCTAGTCCCAGTTTACCTGGCACGGGTGAACTTTCTGACACCGGCACTAGGGACGGAATGCCCTGGGGCCCCAGCTTTGTGGACTTACTTTGCCCAGTAGGAATGCCTCCAGCAAAAAAAGCAGGCAGAGTGAGCCCTTGTGGCACCCTCAATGGAAAAAGTTCTAAGACTGGTGGGCAGACGCACTTGGCCTCCCTTCTAAGATTTTAGCACAGGTACACAGCGGTGATATTCATAACATTTAATGACTGGTACCCCATGAGCACTGACCAATTTAGTGGCTGTAGGCCATAGTACTGGAGCTAGAGATCCCCCACTGCTGCAGATACCAAGTCTTTGGTTACTGGATCATGACGAAGTCCAACTCATATTGATGGGCTGCTGGATGTCAACTGTTCAAAACGTATTTTGCTTTTGTAAGATCCAAAAAGCTGTGCAGATACATACCAGATGAATAACAACAGGACTATACATGAAATTTCAAAGCTCATGTCTACTGTCAGGCTTTGTGTGATCCTACCTTCACCTTTTAAGAACCTGTCCTCTTTGACCTTAAGAAGGGATCAGTATCAGGGCCTACAGGTTCTGCAGGATTGGGGATGCATGAAAGAGCCTTTATCCCACAAAACAGCTCTTCATTTCATTCAACAGCTAATGCAGTTCTCACCAGGGGATGTTTGGGGGTCTGTTTCATTGTACTTTTTACTTGCAGTGATGTAGGTGGCTCACAGCGTAACTCTACCTCCAGGAAAGCTGGTCTACATGGGTGATTACCTGCCCTGGCTGACTGGCCTGCAATCTTTAAAAGGTAGCCCTGTTCCACACCATTGGCCTGCTGAGAAAATCCATCTGTGGTATCCTGAAAGCCCAAATATATTGAATTGGCTCTTTCTTTTCTTTTTTGCCCAGAGATTCTCACTTGCTGCTTCTTATCAGACACCTGGAGTTTGTGGGTTGCCCCAGAGCCTTGCCTCAGAGTGGTCTCTGGGAAGCATTATAACCCTACATCCTGTCATGTCTTTTCCTGTTTCAAGAAAAACTACTTCAGGGTAATTTTCTGCCTCCCGTGTTCATACAAAATAGCACCCAAGGTCGCTTCTAGTCTGGCTGACTCTTTACATACCAAGCACAATTTCTCTTTGAATCCAGAGACTGAGAGGAAACGCATTCCATTATCCAGCGGGCTGCTGTGGAATGCAGTGATAAGGAACATCTGAGGTTGTAGGGAGACTAGTTGGAAGACTGTGGGTCTTCTGGTGCTTCATCTACAAGTTTCAGTAGAAACTGCCTTATCTGCAGTTTCATTTTGCATGGTCTCAGCTACCTGTGGTCAACCATAGTTCAAAATTGTTGCATGGAAATTTTTTAAAACTTCATAACTTTTAAATACTTTTATGACAGTATATTTTTATAGTTGTTCTATAATCAGTTGTTAATCTCTTACTCTGCCTAATATACATAAATAAGTATGTATTTCTAGGAGAAAACAGTACACAGAGAGATTGGTACCATCTGATATTTCAGGCACCCATTGGGGGTCTCAGAACATATCCCCCATGGATAAGGGTGTGGGTACAACTACTGTTCTAGCCTGTTACTTTAACCCAAATAGTTATATCTCCCTAAATCTTGTTTACCTCAAAAGTAGAGTAGAATCCTATTATATTGTTTGCCAAATTGTTGGGATTAAATGAAATAATCTATCAGAAAACACATTGTAAACTGAAGAAACATTAAGTAAAATGCACCAGAAGAGAGGAGCATTGTCCGAATTAATGAAAGAAAAGGACCAAAAATGTAGAAAACAATTATAGCAGCTGACTGAGTAACTAAAGGAAGCCAACTGTGGTCTAAGTTGGAAGAAAGAACACCCCAGCCCTGAGCCCCCTTCATGATACCTCTCTCTGCAAACTGTTAGCTGGGGAGACGTGCATGTCAGAGGGAAGTACTAGAGAGGAGTGTTACTGTGGATTTGAAGCTGAGGGAGGTTGTGCGTGCAGGAAAAAAATGCATATGGGGTGATAAAGGAAGGACACGGTGCCTAGGTGATACCAGGAAGGGGAAAGAAAACAAGAGACAAAACCTCTGCTACACCTGTCTGTGTGATCATTGATGAGGTCTTCAAATAATTCTGAACTTGAGGGCATCTCCCCAGAGAGAAGCAGATGATCAGAAATGGCACTGGCACTCCTCTGGGGGAGCCATCGAGGGCATCTTCTCCAGAGACCAAGCTCTGCAGCCTTGGAGAGTAATTTGGTGTTATCAGATTAATTAAATCCTTTTCTGTGGTTCAACTTGCATATGAATATTAAATCTCAGGCTGGGCCTCCCATCTAATCAGAGAGTGGATGTTTTCATGATAACACTTTGTTCCCAAAACATTTGGAAAGTGTGCATATTGTATTTTTAATGAGACTGTGATATTTATTTATGGCAGGAAGAAATCTTCCAGCTAGGAAGTCTCATTCACATAACAGCTCTGTGTCTGACACCTAGAGCTGTGCTAGATGTCCCCTCCAGACTTGCTTATTATCACAAATTATTTTACTTTCCAACTCTCATTCTTAATTTGTCATAGTTGTTCATGTTGCTGAAAGAGGTCATGGGATTTGTTCCTGGGTTCAGATTCTGATGGTCATTATTGATGAAGATGGTATTAGGTAAATGAATGAAATTCTGTGGGACTTGGTTTCCTATATTTAAAAAATGGGAATCATAATGATTCTAACTCAGAGCTATCTTATGAATTAAAATTTTCCATAAAGCATAAAGCTTCATGCAGTGTGCTTGGCACCCAGTAGTGCCACATGTGGGTTTTCCAAGTATGTTGGATGTCTTCTTCTGTGACTCTCATATGACCCGAGTTTCCTGTTTTCTCTTTAAGCTTTGATGTGGAAAATGGCCCTTCCCCAGGTCGGAGCCCACTGGACCCCCAGGCCAGCTCTTCCTCTGGGCTGGTGCTTCACGCCACCTTTCCTGGGCACAGCCAGCGCAGAGAGTCCTTTCTGTACCGATCAGACAGCGACTATGACTTGTCACCAAAGGCGATGTCAAGAAACTCATCACTTCCAAGCGAGCAGTGAGTAGTGTTCTTCTTGTCTGGCTCCCAGCCTCGCATTACCTCATCTTCACCCTGTCATAGCAGCGGCAGCATCAGCTGCCCTTTAACCTGAGGGAGAAGGGACACAAAAAAATGAACATGACCAGAGGTGACAGGGTTGACCATCTTAACGACATCAGTGCTTTACAGCATGTGAATTTGTAACTAGGGTCTCCAAAGGTGTTTCAACACCTCAGGCACAGCGTTCAGTCCACATCTGTTATGTACCCTTAAATTTTTTTTTTCATTGAACTTCATTTCCTGAACTGCTGAATCATTTATGGAATAAGAACCTTAACACATTTCGCAAATCACACTTGAGTTGTCAGCTGCATGTGCAGTTTGCATGAGGCTCCCACAGAGAAGAAAAAAATGGTGGTTGGTCACCTGCATTTCTTACACTGGCCTTTGTCTGGTGGCATTTAGGTCGTCACTCAGATACATGCCTTTGTCCTTTCTCTGGAACCTAACACAATACCCGCTTGTTGCCTGACTCCTTGGTGAGACACAGCACACGTCACCGCCCCGCAAAGCACAGCTGATGTTTTTGTTTTGCTCCTATTAATTGTAGATCTCTAATTTTTATTTAAAGAACAATGACTGGGTTGTATTGCCTGCTTATTAAATTTCTGAAACCAAATAAAATTGGATGCTAAAATCCATGCCTTAAAAGGTTTCTGGGCACACATACAATTGCTTTTAACATCATATGTTATAAAAATATCAGTAGCTCCCTAAAGTCTCCAGCCTGGAAAATTCCACTGGGTTCTCTTTCTCTATTAGAGAGGAAGCCAAAAAGGTTCACCTTCTTGTAGAGGGGCAGAGGGCATTTTAAAGCTGGGGGGAAGAAAATGTTCCTTGGTTATTTCTACTAGAAAACTTTAACAGAAGCACCCCAGCCCTAAAATATTTAAATCATTGTGTGGACCAAAATTCTTTTTTTTTTCGCTCATTTTTAGTTAATATTTACTGAACACTCTTATGTGCTGTGTAATGTGCCAGACAAATGTGGGGATAAATGTTGAACAACACAGTGGAGAATTCACAGATGAGTTAAAAGCATTCCCCCAAAGTTTGCTTGTTCTCATGGAGATTGCAACTAACCAGGAATGATCAAAGGAACACACACAGACACACTTTACTCTACAGAGTAGAAGGAACATGGCATTTAATGAGCATTTACCCTGGGGCCAGTTTCCTTTACATGTATTCTCTGTTATTTGTCATAGCAACCCTGTCAGGTAGGTCCCATTATTATCCCCACTCTGTAGATGATGAAACTGAGACTCTGAGAGATTCAGAAACTTGCCCCTGTCTCATGACTATGTCTCATACTATATCCCCCCATGTAGCTAAGAATCAAGTCCATTTCTTGTTGCTGTAACAAAATGCCTGTGATTCGGTACTTTATAAATGAAAGAAATTTATTTGGCTCACAATTCTGGCAGCTGGAGGGTTGAAACAGCATGGCACTGACCCCTTGACTGCATTTCAACCTGTCTGAGAAATAAAAAAGGAACTAACCACATACAAAATGGGCCAAACTGAGTAGGCTGGACTTGGTTTATAACAAGTTGCTATCATATGAGAATGAACTCACTCAACAAGACCTCCATTAATTCCTTGCAAGAGCAATGCCTGCAATGACCCAATTACCTCATACTAGGTCCCACCTCTGAAAGGTTCCACTACCTCCCAACATCACCATACCAAGACCCAACTTTGAGCAATATGAACTCTTGGGAGATACCAATATGACATAGCAATTGTCATATTCAAAAGTTTTGAACTCTTGTTGTCTATGTTCTTTATACTGTAAAGGTAGAAAACGTGAGTACAAAATAGAGGTACCTGAGGCTGGAGGAGGGGTGGCCATTTGGTTATGCTTTATGCAGGCTCCATATTTTCTGACTATGTCTTGGGTGGTAACCATTCACAGTGAATACACTAGGAATCCTTACTTCCACCTTGATAAAGACTTTTCTAGACTTCATCATAGGAGAGCATTGGAAATGTAGTGAGCTCAAAGAATCCAAACTTCATTCATGTGGCATTTTACAGATAGAAGACTAGCTTTGGAAAAAAAGTCTTTCCCTAAATTAATTCCTCAGGTATAGTTCACCAAACTTGTGCTAGGTAGTATGATGAGTCTCCAGGCATTCCATGTTCACAGAAGACTCCATCCAAATTTCAGACTCAACTCTGGTGTTTCTCTCCTCCGAATCAAACATTAGAGAAAATTTGCCCTTGAAGAGACCTTGAAGATCACAACCCAACTCAGTCTGTAGCTGATGAAAACAGGATGTAGTTTTGGATTACTCTGCACCTGGTATCCCTGTTGCTAGTGGGTTACCTTTTCTGAAGTTTTACTGACCAATAAAAGTTTCCCCCAATCCTAGAATCCACACAGTGATGCCAACTTTAAATTTAGACAAGTAAGCTTTACAAAGGTAAATTATCTTGTATCATTCTTACTTTTTAAGGACTTTTAAAAAATGATGGAAGGTCAGAGTTTCACAATAATAGTCTCTCCTTAGAAAACAGAGTTGGCAACTTAATGCCACCTTATGCAGATAACAGGTTATATTAAACTGTTTGTAATAAAAATAGCAAAAGATTTTGTTTTAAAATATTTCAACATTACAATAAAATCTTTTTTTGTTTTGCTAGTGTAAGGTGTTGTACATATGAACATAACCAAAAAAATCAGAATTTAAATAATACCCAGGTTCTTCTGGTATTTCATTTGATCAGCACTATGTTGGAAAATCCCGTTCCACACAGGCATCTGGATCTGAACTGAAGTAATGCTTGTAAACCTCTTTCTTCCCATTTTTACTCTTCAGAATGAACTGCAATAAATACAGAAGCAGTCCCTAAGCTTCCCATATCTTCTCCCAATAGATCCAAGAAGAAAATGGGTGATGATAAACTAAGAGTTTTGAAATGAAGGCCACTGTGTGGGCTACAGGATGTTCTCTGCTCGGGAGTGCCTCAACCCAGCAGAGCAATGATGAATTTATATGAAGTGGAAAAATTTGCATAATTCCACTGCATTAAATTCTAATAATAGGGGAGACACTAGCTTTTAAACATTTTTTTTTGTCTGAACTCTTTCAGAAGAGTAAGAGAAAATTTAAAGTAGAGAGAATGGGTTAGTTATTAAGCATAAAAATGTGAATGGAAAATAAAAATGGCTTTCTAGAGAAGTCAAACAAGATCACCATGGAGTTCCAAAAGGAAATCTTAGATGCATTCCTAGATGTGGCAAGAATCTGTTGTTTTCTGTTCATTTGCTGGGTTGCAGTCATCTCTCACGTATTGCCTTTGCATACCCGGGTACAGATTTCCCAATCGGTACAGAAAGTCCTAAAAATTGACGAAACCAGATTCATTGCCCAAAATTGTGACAGGAACTGCCCCAGACAACAAGAAGTCTTGATTATGCACCTGCAAAACTAAGGAAAGGAGGCTCCTGGCTTCTCTCATTTGGTCATCCCATTTGTAAATCTCTATGAAGTCAAGGAGTTTTTTCAAGCTGCAATTTACATGAGAACTAAGTGGTTTCTAGAGAGTTGTCAAGGGAAATGAGACTGAAAAACCAAGAGGAACAGCACAAAGAACAGTTTTTCAAACGTAAGACCTGATGGCTGATGGGTGACCCAAAGAGTACAACGTGGTTCCTATGAGTTAAGTTAAAGACTGTAACCATCCCATTCTCTCACCATGGCTGTTGAGACATTGAATTGCTTTCATATCTGTAAGTAAAAGCACATTTTTATTAATCAAGTTCCTCATGCTATTTACTATTTAAATTCCTTTACATATATTAATTCATTCAAAATCTACATCTACAATGCGGAAGGTACTATCATTTTCTTATTTTAAAGAGGGGAACATTGGGAAACCAAATAGGAATCAAAGCTTGAGTCCCAAGAGTCCAGGTGGCTAAACCAAGTGGATATTGAGCACATAAATACCAAATGAGACTGAACATCTCTGTTCTGCCTAACTTTCCAATCATTACAAGGTCCCATTCATTCTTTTTCTTTTTTTAGGGGGGAGGGGGGCAGTTACAGGGGATTGAACTCAGGGCACTCAACCACTGAGCCACATCCCCCCTCCAGCCCTATTTTGTATTTTATTTAGAGACTGAGTTTCTTAGCACCTAGCTTTTTGCTGAGGTTGGCTTTTGAACTTGCAATCCTCCTGCCTCAGCCTCCTGAGCTGCTGGGATTACAGGTGTGTGCCACCACTCGCAGCTCAATTCTTTTTTAAATAAATATTTACTTAGGCACCTTATTAAAAATGAGACAATTTCAATTCCTTCAAGAGAACTAAAAGATTTGTTAGTCAACAGGTGATCTCAGTACTTTTAGGTAAGGGCAAAGGCACAGAGATTTGCATAGGACTGAAAAGTTTGGCTAGGCAGGCTGAACAGAGGCTTTGAGGTGACATTTCAGAAGAGTTAGGCTGACTGAAAGGGTGTACAGGAGGACAGGCCATGCCAATGAAGTCTTCAGTTGCAGGGGAGCAGTGTGGAGAACCACAGCTTAGCATGACTGAGGCAGAGAAGTTGACGGGGTGGGGATGTGGTGTGAGAGGCTGGAGAAGGAAGCCAGAACCTTGTCATGAAGGGCCTGTGCTGCAGGCTGGTCTTCAGCTATAGACAAGCACCAGGACTACTAGACTTTTTTAAGCCAAAAAATGTATAATCAGATATTTGCTTTTAAAAGACAGCTCTGGTTGCACAGTGAAGGATGGTTTGCAGAGCAACCAAGCCTAAAGAGCAGGTGGTAGGTTGCTTGGGTAATCCATATAATAGAGAATAATTCTCAGAGCAGGTCCAGTGGATGATTAATAAGCATTTGCAAGTTAGGATCAAAGGGGTCTATAGTTGATTGTTGGGATGAGGAGAAGGAAGTTTCAAATTTAGTCAAAGAGATAAGTGGTCGCATCATTTCTTGGGATCCGGAGCTTCCTTTGATCACACGAAATAATGTCTATGAAAGCACTTTGTAAACTGTAAAGTACATTGTAAACTCACGTCCTCTTGATTGCAACAGGGACAGGCAGGTGTATCTTGAAGAAGTTCTCACCAGCTTAGAAGATAGACATGCAACTCTTTAATCATAGTTACAAAGATACCACTATTAACAAAAGTAAATATAAAATAAATATAAAAATAAAATAATATAAAGATACTACTATTAACTTAAAATAACTATGATGAAATAAATAAATGCTTTTATATGACAATCCCCATTAAGAGTTGTACATATATAATAACTCATTTAATTATTATTTTACAGATGAAGAATATATAACACAGGTTATCTAATGTTTTAGAGTTAGTAATAACACAATTGTAAAGCAAAGCTTGCTGTCTAGCTCCCAAATCTGCTCCTACCCACTATAGTATGCATATCTCTATAAGGCAGACTAAAATTACAGTTCTGCACAAGAAGATATCAGAGGAAGATGAAGTTAATCCATAAAGTGTAGAGTACAGCAGTTAGAAGCAGGATTTTTTGCTTTCTGGGGAAACATTTCATTGTTCTGAGGAGACATGCAGTCAATTTCAAAACCCACTGCTAAGACTCAAGACTATAGTTCTCATCTCCAATTATTCTACAAAATTGTAATGTGCTGGTTTTTTCACTAGATGTTGCTCATGCGACAGTTCTGAATATCCAGCCTTGTTCCTAAGCACAATGGCTTTTTCTGGTTGTTTGGAAAATCAAGAAAGGCACTAGTGTTTCTAATCAAGTGTTTTGTTATTTCCACACCAGTATACTTTTAATTGGTAATACATTAAATTATGATTTTCAAAGTTCAAATAGTCTCATAACTTGGAATATTTTGTTTGTTTCAACAATTTTATTTTGTTTCTGTCCTGATACTCATTATAAACTATCTGATATTTTCTCTAGTAGCCCTCAGTGACATCCAGCATTGGCTTTTGCAGCTCAAATCCTTTGTGGGTTAACATGCTTAGGATCTGCAAATCCATCAAATCCATCTCCTGCTCTGGAACATTCTTCTCTTCTGAATTTCAAAAGCTCAACAGTGATAACATTCCCTATTAATGTTTGTTTATCTTCTTTAATCATTACTTTATGAAGTTTTAGTAGCTTCCCAATTCATTTACCAATACATCAGCTCTAAGTACCACAAGTATATGAATTTGATTGTGCTATTTGCTTTCAACAGATATTTACACTCCAGAAATCTAGGAGTCATAAGAGATCTGCTTGATTCATGACCAACTCACTCTGACATCTTAGGAACAATACGGACCTTGCATCAGCAATCTCAATGAGCAGCAAGATTTTTCACCCCTCTCAAAGTTCATCTTAAGAAAACAACTAGGAAGGGGCAGTTTTTTATACAGTTCATCATACATCTATCACAACTGCTCCTCTTCTAATTCTTTATTCTCTCTCCTTTGGACTACTTTGCAAGAGCCCTAAGGTTCTTCCCTGGACTTCTTATCTATATATACTGCCACCTAGAGAAAGACATCCCCTGCTATTGCCTTAAGTATCCTTATGATTGTAGGAGACTCCTAACTTTATAGATCTAATTACTGCATTTCAGCCTTATTGCTTGATGTCTCTGCCAAGTGCCTTAATACCACATGTGCTCTGAAAACTCAGAGAATCCTCCAAACGCCCCAACTCCTCGTCACTTGTTCCTACTCATGACTGTTGTCTCGGATACCTATTTTTAAACTAAAAGCAATGTTTCTTTATTCATTTAAATACCGAGTCCTAGCAAGACCTCTGGAATGTCTTGAGCTAGTCTTGTCCTATCTTGGCCATACCCATACCTTCTCATCTGCAATACTTCCTACTCTTCTTTCTGAGTATGTCCCCTCTCTGATCTATCCTTGGCCTCCCTAGCATTTGACCTCCAAAAACACTTTCAGTTTGCTTCTCTTACTTCCCATCTCACTAAGAAACTTCACTTGCTTATTTCTTCCTACCAAATTAAGCACCAATTCCATAATCTTTCACCAGGCTACCCAGAATATGGGTGTGGAGACCTTCTCACCTTCTTCTCTACAAATGTCTGTAGCCCTCTCTGAAAGACTGTCCTTCAAAGTTCACCTCACACAGTACTTAGCCTTTCCTATTTTGATTTGTCAACTGTGCAGTGTCACCGTAAAATAGGAAGCATAATATTTAAAGCACAGATTGTGGGAATCAGTCTCAGTTCTTTGGCTGATTAACATTTTTGGTTAAGCAACTGGGTAACTGCTCTGCAGCTGGCATCACCTATCACATGTGAATACCAAACAGTACCTGCCTGAAAGACTTGTTCTAAGATTCAAATGAGATAATGTGCATAAAGGAGCTGACACACACATATTTATGTAGCAATCATGAGGACAGAGGGGTAGACAGAAGGGAGCCCACCATTACCATCTTCTGTGCTGCTGTTGTGAGTCACACAAAGAATGCTTCCCTTTTGTTGATATTCTTTTTATTATCATTGTACAAAGTGGGCACACAAGAAGTTTGCTAGATTAAATTGAATGAGGCTCGTAGCTAAAGACAAAGATGGAAAGGGACATAGAGTATTAAATAGGGCCCAGGCTAAAAGCCTGAGCCAGAGAAGAAGAAGTCAAGGAGGAGGCATGTGTTGTTCAAATCTGGACACCCCCACCCCACCCCCGGCCTCACGTAGTGGCTGGTATGAGGCACATGCCTAATAATTGTTGGAGGCACTCATATGGTTAATGAATAGGCTGCCATATTTGCATGCATATGGCAATCATGAGGACAGAGAAGGGAGAGACAGACTGTGAGGGGAGCTCATTGTCACCAGTTTCGGTGCTGTTATGATTCACACCGTGACAAAAAAATTGTCCTGATTTTGTGACTGCAGCTCAGGCTGACACGTGGCCTAAGATCTTCAGTAGAGAGCTTGCTGGATGTCGGCATAAGTGGATTTATTAAAGCAAGCATCAGAGAGAGCGAAGGTACACTTCTGAAAACACTTTTCTGACTAGTCCCAAGTACAGATTTACAAAACACTAGCTACACATTAATCAGGCCTTCAGGACCAAATGAGTAACAATGGTATGGTTTTAGGAGGTTCAGTCTGTTCACTTCCACTAAAAGCTTTTCCTTGGGTACTTTAAGAAAAAAAAATTATATTAAAAATTTTTTAAAAAGTAATGGGATTCCCAGACAGAAATCTGTGTTTAAATGGCATTAAAGCTGTGGTTTAAATCAACAAAAGCCAGGAAATCCAAAGTTAACCTTTATCCAGACTGTTATACCATTTTTTCCAACTCTGTGTGTGCCTGTGAGCAGCCCTCCCTTTGAATTTCCTGGCTCTAACAACCAAAATCCACAAGTCGCTTTGAATTACAGTACTCTGGGTCTGCTGTTTAATGGAATGATACCCTGAGGATATAAGCTTACTTGTAAATGCTTGTATGTGAAATCACCGTAAATCTAGGAGTCATGAACTTGGTGCTATTTTTTTTTCTTAAAATCTCTTGGGATCCCCATTTTTGCCTGATTGCAAATCCTGCCTTCTATCCAGGTAGACGTATTTATAGAATACATGTGTTGCTAATATTGATCAAGTTATATTATAGCTTGTGTGTCATGGTTGCAATTGAGGTGTGTTTCTGAATGTTTCTTTTTCTCTCTTTTCTTTAGACACGGCGATGACTTGATTGTCACTCCATTTGCCCAGGTACGTATTATGCTGGTCTTGGCTCAATCTCACTCTGTCCCTGGGTGTGGTTCCTAAATGTGGCCTTGGAGTCTGGCATCTGTCCCCTTTTGTCACTAACCATTTGAAACCTTTTCTTTATAGGTCCTTGCCAGCTTGCGAAGTGTGAGAAATAACTTCACTCTACTGACAAACCTTCATGGAACATCCAACAAGTAAGCACTGACTCTCTGGAGTTATGAATAAAAGCAAAAACAAAACAAAACAAAAACCACCTAACAGCAGTTTTTAAAACCCCCCTAAATAAACAAGTATTGCATGGAAATTTGCTCTCCAAACTAAATACACAATGAAATTTGTATTTCCACACACAATGAAATTTGAAAATAAGATAGAACACTACAGTATTTTGAAACTGGTAAGACATTAGAAATTATCTAGTCTGGGTTTTATTGATTTTTGAACCCTTAACTATACTAGAGGAGTTCAATAAATGAAATAATGAGATGAGGATAATTTTAAAAATTTTATATTTGTCATATTGGCCAAAAATGACCAAAAATTCTTAATAAGATGTTAATGAATTAAGAGACTCAAATTTAAAATTAAAGATACCCAAAGCTCAAGTTCAAGTTACTTGTTTTTTTTTCCTTTTTTTGAGGGGTGTGTTTTTTTGAAAATACATAAAGCAGGTTCATGCAGTTTGATGATTAATAGTGGAATTACATTCTTCTCTTTCCCTAGTGAAATACAGGACCTTTCTTGTTTCAATTAACATTGCCAATCCTTGGTCTCCTCATCTGTAAGGTGATGGGGTTGAACTTGTTATTCCTGACAATAACTTTCTCTTCCAAAATCATTTCAATCCATAAGCCTAATATAAGTGCTATACAGTTCACTCTCTTACATGTTTTAATAGATCCTCAGGCTCTGAGGGTCATAGAATCCATGATGCTCAACCTTTTTGTTTAATTGAAAGATAAATGCAAGCCCTCAGGAGCCCAGCAACTAGTTAGCAACCATGACATAGGTAAAAGACACAGAGGGGCCAAAACTTAAGTCTTTTGATTTTTCAGTGTTCAAGGTACAGAGTATCCTGTCTGAGGTCTTTGTAAAGTCATTCACCCATCCTCTATTTTGTGATCATTCAAATCTCCCTAGAGTGGGCTTATTAAAAGTGAGAGTAGCCTATTTTGAGTGATTTCTTTTCGGTTCACTGTCCTATAACTTGTTTTTAAGCCTCCATGTGAGACGAATGTGCCTACCCGAGCAGAGGCTTTCCCACCTTTGGACTCTATTTTTCTAAACTATTCTCCAGATTTCTAACAGAGCAAACTTTCTGTTTGATCAGAATTGTTGGTTGCACTCACGTGGTTAATGAATAAAATGCATATTTGTGGACCATTGCAGTGGTCCACTCCCATCATTAAGAAAAAAATTTAGAAGCTAGTGCTTAGTACCCAAGGTACCTTACAGCCCAGATCAAATTAATTTGACTGATTGTTGGTTGGGTTTATGTTTAGTGTCATGTACGGATAGATTGAACACCCAATCTGAAACTCCAAAATTTGAAACTAAGTGCTAGTCAACATGATACCAAAGGTGAAAAGTTCCACAGCAGACCTGTCATGATGGGTTGCACTGAAAACACACGGGCACTAAAAATATTGTATAAAATTACCTTCAGGTTCCATGTATAATAAGGTGTGTATAAACAAAAAAATTAATTTTGTGATTATACTTGAGTCCCATTTCTAAGGTATATGATGACGTATTTGCAAATATTCTAAAATCCCAAACCTGAAACACTTCCGTTCCCAAGCATTTCAGATATCAGATAGTCAGCCAGTATATGAAACTCTGAGACTTGACCCAGCCTCTTCTGGAGTGGTACTCTCTGTTTACTTATTTATCAAAATCCATCCAGTAAGGACTTATTCAGTATGTACTATTCATTCATGCATGTACATGTGCACTGACAAATATTAGCTAAGCACCTACTTTTTGGCAAGTACTGATTATATAATAGTGAACAAAACAGACAAGTTCTCTGCCCTTTCAGGGCTTACTGTCTAATAGGAAGTGCCTGGGGATCCAGTGGTGAATAACCAGACCAGGTCTCCAGCCACATGGGATTGTGTTCAATAGTTGTGGTCTAGCGGTTCCCTGCATGCTCTCTTCTCCATCCTAATTGTGGACGTTTTGTTCTCTTTTCCTGAAATGTCTCCTTCCTCCTAGTGGTGTCCTCTTGGCCAGGTCCTAGCTCTATTTTATGATAATATGATATGGTGTCCCTTCTAGTATCACCTTATCAGAATGCTTTCCCTTACTCTTCCATAGCATAGTGGGCCCTCATGTGACTGGAAGATATTCTAAAGACCCTAGCACATTCCTTTGTGGATCTTGGCCAATCACTAGACTGTGCAGCTCTTAGAGGGAAACTTGGATTTATTTTTCTTTGAATTCCCAAGAATTAGTAGAATGCGGACACCCAGTTTAATTTTCCATAAATAGTCATCATATATATGATTTTCTGAATAAGTAATGATTCAGGAAAGTTCTGCAATTTTTTAGAAAATTATTTTCTAGAAGTGATTTCTCCTCTATCCCTATATTTTTGTTTTTGCTTTCTGTAGAATAACTTAAAATTATGCATTTGTGCAAGTTAATTCCTCTCTCTAAATCTCTGTTTCCTAATCTGTAAAATTGGGTTGTTTTGAGGATTAAATGAGCCGATATTTGCAAAGCATTCAAAACACCATCGAGCCCAGCAAATTCAAACTGTTCTAATGATAGACAATTTCTCTTGCTAAATCCAGAAGCACGGTAACACTGTGGTGTTTTCGTAGCCATTTTCTCAGTGACAACCACCATAAATCAATCTCATGGCAGGCCTTGTCACCTCCTCTCTATGGGTTAGGAAACACAGCTTCAGGAGAGGAAGTGACAAGCATATGGCCACACACGTCTTGGGAGCAGCAGTCACACTAGAAACCTGGCTTTCTGGCTCTCCTTGCAGAGCTCTTCCCATTCTCTACCCCAACTAAGTCCTCTGGGTTATGGGAAGAAGTCCCTGGAGAGCTTTGGAACAATAACCTTTAAGAAGAACTGATGGAACTGATGACAGTCAGACAGCCCAAAGACAGAGACGTTAGCTAAGATAGTATTTGCAGGAAATAAAATGTGAGGGCCAAAATGCTATAGCCGGGAATGGAGAGGAAGGATGAAAAAGGACACATTTTAAAGGGTTCTTTAGCATGACTGTACCCAAACCACTACACTGTGTAGCTCCAAGGAAAAAGAGGGGCGGGCTTAGTGATTTCAACCTGATTCGTTAGCATGGGTTAGGTGGTCTTTCCTAGTTAGTACTGGGGCATTCATCCTATCCCTGCTGACAAATAAATTATGTCAGCTTAAATTACTTTCTTAACAATCAGGTCCTCAGATAGTCCTGTGGGTTTGGGGCCATATAAGCTTTTATGAATCAAATATCCTGAGACCATAATTGCCATACAAAACCTGACTTACAGCCTGTTTCTACCCTCTCAAATCGTGGCCCTTTGTGTCACCTTTGGTCCAAAGCAAACCACAACTACCAAACAGAATAGATCTCCAGCTATAAGATAGCTGCATTGACTGATATTTCTTAAATCCACCAACATGTCTGTACAGAATTGATCCTGTTATTAATTGCTATTATAACCTATAGCAAGCAACAAAAAACTTAAGACAGGGAAAACCCCCACTAGAGCTTCACCAAAGGAAGTGTAGCCCGAGCTACAAAAGGAGTGTACCAGAATGATGGGTTTGGATCACAGTTGGAGCAGCCTGGCAAGGGCAGGTTGGAGAACTGAGGGTTCATTTAATGAATTCTCGATAGTCTATTCCTTGATAGTCAATAACCTCAAACAACTGGAGAAAATCCAAGAGAAGGAAGTGCAGATAATATTATCTGCCAGGAGTGGATACAGCATCCTAAGAGCAATGAAAGACATTTCAGATGTACACTTATTTCCCAACCCCAGCCTCCACATATATCAAGAATATAAGATTCATGGACTTCAGAAGTTGCTTTCTGGGATATTTGACTTGGGTTCAGGGTGCCACTCCCTGTCTTGAATGAAACACTTAAGCAATAATTATTTCCTTGGAGTGGTTTGTATGAGACATCTGGTTAGTGTGGTTTGTATATGAAAAGGAACTCCCACATAGAATAGCACTTCTCAGAGTGAAGGTTTCTTTTATCTCTTGGCTCTTTGCTCTGCATAAAAGTAGTCCATTGTCTGCCTGAATTTTACCACCCAAAGGGTGAAAATCGAAAGGTTCCCATTGAACTGATTTCTTTGCATCTCCATGGTGTATCACACAGAGGGACACTTGATTGGGCCTGTATTTCTTGGCTGCACATTCAGCCTTATTTCCATTGTCCCTGGAGTTAATTTTGAAAATATGGCTTTCATTTAGAGTTGTTAATATAGATAAGCATCCCTAAACTATTTACTGGCTTCAGACTTTTCCTGATGGAGTAATCAGATGTCTGTGTGAAAGTGCCTACAGCCCAGGAGTCAGTAACCAGTAACCAGCCTGTAGCAAGGTGTCCTTCCTCATCCCACTTTGTCACTAACATCATGCATGTTACCTGTGACTGTCAGGAAATCAACGCCACATCTTTCTATTAACATTCTTCCAAAGCATAATCTAATTAAAATATAAATAATCTTTGGGAGAGAATTAATGATCTCATTTTTTTAAAGTGTATGTCTGATATGCCTTTCATTGCTTTATGTACTTTGGCATGGGATTTAAATTAGCTGAGAATCATAAAATCTTGAGCATTCTGGGCTGGAAAGAACCTAGCCAGATTTCCTCAGAGTAAGTCAGAAAAATATATGAAAAACCCCACACACAGGCCTAGCACATTGTAAATCAGAAGTAGATGTTAGCTGCTGCCTGCTCTCCCCAAGTCCGGAAGAAAGTAAAAGGTTCATGTGAGTTGCCGAGGGCTACTCAGTTGGAAGGTGCTAGAGCCAGGATTAGAATTCCTGCTTTCTTATTCATAGTCCAGTTTTCTCTCCATTGTACTATTCAGGGCTGGAAAAAATTAAGTGTTGTGGCCCTCCCTGTTCATATCACCATCTCCAGCAGCCAGGCAGAAAATTTCTTATGATCTTTCCCTAAGTTATGGGCCATTGGAAGTTAGGCCAACAATATCATTTCCCCCTGAATTCATCACATTTTTCTCACTGGAATTCTTATGTCCTCCAAGCAGTAATGTGGCTTTCAGAAGTCATTCATTTAAAATCATTAAACCTTTTTCTTGCACCAGATCTCAAGAATAAGTGATGAACCACATAACCATGGTTCCTGGCTTTCTAAAGCTTACACACAGAGATGCTTATCTGAATTATCAACTCTAAATGAAAGTCATATTTTCAAAAAAACAACTTCTGAGATGAAGGAGTTTATGTAATATGTTTAATTTCCAAGAAGTCATTGAGAGAATTGGGTGCTGTAAGCAAAGATGGACAACATTTAGAATCTCCTAGTTTACTCTTTCCTTTCACAAAGCCTTCTTTGGAACTCAAGAATTGATGCAAAATAAAATCATTAAAAATGGATTATTAGTCCAGTGAATATGCTTTGAATACCTACATCATACCAAATATTATGCTAGATTCTAGAGGTACTACTATGAATAACACTCAGTCTTTGCTTACATTTCTCACAGATGAGTTGGGCAAACGGATAGAAAAGTGGTAAATGCAATACACTGTAAGCACAGCAATGATGGGGTAAACTCAGGAAATATAGCACCAGTCAAAGCCCACTCGTAGGCTCTGAGTGCAGTCCCAGGTCACATGAAAGAATTAGCTACTTAAAAAGGAGAAGAAAGATGGTCAACTAAACAAAACGTATGCAAAGGCACAGCCATAAATTAGATTATGCGTGTTCAAGAGACAGTGAGACATATATAGAACCAAGACTGTTATGTGAAAAGGAACACATTCCTATGGAGTATTTGGTTCCTTAAATCACTTTTATGCCAAAGGTCCATCCAATCAAAAGTCTGCCAATGCTTTAGGAGTTCAACTATTTGCCAGGAAGCTGGTGGGTCTTGCATAGGATATAAAGAACTGGATTCTGCCACAGATTATTGGTCGAGATATATGTACCTATATGAATCATAACATGGGAAATTACTTCAAAGACACATTAGAGTCTAGAGGAAGAATGATTTTCAACTGAGCAGAGTATCCTTTGAGAAAGATGCTTGGTCTTTGAACAGCAGGTGATATATAAGGTGGGAAATGCTTCCCTGGCAGAGGAATGACCTGAGCAGTAGCAGGAAACAGACAACACATATTCAAGGAAAAAAAAGTAATCAAGTTTGGCACTGGCCAAGCATGAATCAAATCTTTCCAAGTCCACCCATCTATCCATTCATTCATTCATTCATTCATCCATCCATCCATCCAGTTCTTATTTAGTTCAACAAGTATTGCTGAGGGATCGATAAGTGAAATACCATCCTGTATGCCATGCTGGGATCCAGGTGTGAACAAGTCATTGCCTACCCATATGCAGTTTACCTTGAAGGAGTCATCTATGGAACTCTAATTGGGGACTATTTTAATTACAAGTTTAAAGTTCTACAAAGGAGCAGTACAAGATGCATAGAACACATAGTCAGTGGTTTGAGAAGAAATGTCAAGCAGGAGGAATTCAGATAAGCCTAGAAAAAGTATGTTGATGCGTGAGAGTGAAGGACTTTGAACTCCAGGCCAAGGGTTTGGAATTTAATCTCTCAGTTTTCCTGAAAAACAGCCCTCAGTATTCATGCAGGTGTTATCAGCAGAGGGTATAAAGGAAAGAGCTTGCACTTTGGATTCAGAAAGACTTGGCTTTGAAATCCTGCCGGTCGGAAACTATGTGTGCTTTCATAACTTCTCTGAACTTGTTTCCTTATCCTTAAAATGAAATAGTATTCTCACCAAAGGAAGCAGTACAGTGTCTTACAGAGAAAATGATCATTGGATGATAATTTCCCTTCTCTTGTCACACATGAAAATTTGGTGCAACAAAGGATTTGAAAGTACCTGCCTAGCGAGGTGTGGTGGCACACACCTATAATCTCAACAGCTCGGAAGGATTGCGAGTTCAAAGCCAACCTCAGCAATGGGAAGGCACTAAGCAACTCAGTGAGACCCTGTCTCTAAATAAAATACAAAATAGGGCTGGGGATGTGGCTCAGTGTTCTAGTCCCCCTGAGTTTAATCCCTGGTACCAAACAAACAAACAAACAAACAAAAAAGTACCTGCCTAGAATCACTCAGCTAGGAAATTAGTCCTGAATATGGACCCTCTCTACAGACTCTAGCTACAGTGCATGACTATGTCGAAGCTGGATTACCCATAAGGGATCAGAGATTGATAGAGTACTTAGAAAAATAATTATGTAGGAAAATCAGTAGGAAGAGCCTTCTTTGGCAACAACTTGGTAGGTCTTTCTCTACCGTTCAGAATTTGGCTTCTTTGGCAAACTTCTCTGTGCCTGGGAATGCACAAAGGAGTAAAAATATGGATTCCCAGGCCTCATCCCAGATATACTGGAATGGACTTTCAGGGATTCAGAAAAGGATTCAAGAGACCCCCCCAAATGTGTCTGATGCTTATCCATGTTTGAGAGCTTTTGGCCTAAGGTGCCACTCTCTTGCTCATTGCCAACATCCTGTTGCTCCTTAGAGGGATAGAGAATCCTTAATACCAGTGGTTCTGAAGGTAGAGTCCCCAGCCCCCAACAGCAAGCAGCACCTGGCAACCTATTAGAAATGCAAACATTCAAATCCAGCCCAGGTCAACTGAATCAGAAACTCCAAAGGTAGTGTTTAATAGAATGTTTTAATAAGCCCGTGGGGTGATTCTAGTGCACCCTAAAATTTGATAACACTGGGAGATTCTCAGGAATCTGGGAATCCAGAAGAGTCTGCCGACATTAGTTCTGCAAAGCACGAGGCTGGTAAAACCAGCAAAATTAGGGAAAGAGGTACAGAATAGGAAAAAGAAACAAAAAGGAGAAAAAAGACCCACTATTAGTGTAACATGGGTTTGTTTGCTTGTTTCATTTGAGTGTTGTTATCAGGAAACTTGCTAGGATGAAGAATGAGGCCCCAGTTCCTCCATGAAAAGGCAGTTCCCGAAGTTAAGCAAGCTGGGTGACTGTGGCTGGTGGCTGGGTGACCTTTAGCAAGTAACTTCAGCTCTTGAGTTCCCAGTCTCCTGAGATACAAAAACTGCAGGGCCTGAACTTTTTTTGCTCTCTAAGGGTTCCTCTGGTTGTAACGTTCTGCAGCACTACCCAAAGGAACTAGAATTCACTCTGACATTGGAACGATGACTCCTGGGACAGCAAAACACCAAACAGAGGGGCTGACTAGGGACCTGGTAAACAACTTCCTTCCTGAAGAGTGAGAACATCCTGAGGCTGTGCAGAGGGAAATTCCAGGCCATCTGGATGTGAGAGAATTGTAGTCATCGACCCACGTTACAGGAGCCTGCCTTCCGGAGATAGCATTATGTCACTTGATGGCTCATTATGACCTGGAAAACTCCTCAGTGATCACAGCGGGGTGGGAGCATTAATACACGAACTCAGCCCTTCTTTTTCTCATTCTCCACAGGAGGTCCCCAGCGGCTAGTCAGCCTCCTGTCTCCAGAGTCAACCTGCAAGGTAGGCCATGTCACCAGAGCTATCTCCATGTTTCAAAATCAGAACTGTGCCTCTTATTCAGAACTGCCTTTGGAATAACATTTGTTTGCATGCTATGGCTCTCAGAAGAATGTCTCTTGGTGATTTTTTTTTTCAAAGGTATACTAAAACTTCACTTCATGCCAAGTAAAACCAAATTAAAAGCAGTATTTTTTTTAAAAAAAAAAATTGCCCATTTTATGCTTGGGCAAATTTTCCAACTGTGATGGATGGAATGGGGCTGCTCTTTCCCACCAGAGGAGCAGCCATCAGAGCTGTGATGGAGTGCAGGCTGACCTAAGCCTTGAGGCTCCAGTGAATTCCAGGAGAGCTGACCTCAGTGACCAGCCCCCGCCAGGTGCCCACACTGGCCTCAGGGGTTCCAAGGATATGTTAGTGGTTTCCTCTTAGCATCAATTATAGCTGTCACCACACCTACATCCCTACATCTTTTCCAGGTGTGAAACCGAAGGTTCTTCCAGGTCACAAATCATTTCTCGTGGAGATTTTCAAACTTTGTTCCTCCAAGGTGTTTTTTGTTACTTTCTTAAAAAAAAAAAAAAAACCCTAATCTCTCATCATTCAGTACTGTGCATCTGCTTTTCCTGCAGTATTGAGAATGGTGAGAGGAAGGCCCACCATAAGGGAACACCATGCAGATGAGTTGAACACAAATTATTGACACAATACACAAACCATTAGATCACCTTTTTTTTTTAAGTCCAAATGCAGTTTTTCCCCCTTGATCCTGCACTACTCTTGTAGTAGTGAATTTCAGCAAAACAACAGAAGAAACTATTAAGATGAACTCAAAGCATACCCACCTCACATCTAACACTGCCTCTCACAAGATTCCATTTCTAGCAGCACGGTACCCTCCCGTTTAGACTTAGCTCTTCCCTACCTGGAAGTTCTGATCTCATGCTAGTACTATGACCATAAGTATCACGAAAGTATCACAAAAGCCCAGCTTCTAAAAGAAGGGAACAAAAGCTTCGATTCTATTGGCTCATGGGTTTCCAAAGTATTTATGGCAGACGCTTCTAAAAATATTTTTACAAAAGAAAGATAGCAGACAAGAATAAAAGTGAGAGAAAGACATTAAATAAGGATGAGTTTACTCTGGAGCCCCATGATAGGAAATAAATAGAAGTAAATAATACTATTAACTATGGACTTCAAAAACCTAGGGTGCTGGATGTACTGTTTCCTTTAGAAGTTTTACAAAAATAAACAAAATAGAGTGTTTTATCATATAACTGGTGTTGCATACTTGGAGATGAAAGGAGCTGGGTTTGAAACATCTATCATTTCATCTCACTAGCTGACCAGTCAGGTAACGGCTGCTGGTATTTCTGTTTGGCAAATTTGCTAAGATGTTTTTGAGATCAATTTGAATATTTAGACTGTTTCCTTGTTCTTGTGATACATACCGACAGATATTAGGACAATATGTGACATTTATGGTTCTATAAATTAGTTCATTAGCCAAAGATGCTGTTGGAAAGATTGTTTTGTGGTTTTTGGCACAGTAACTACAGCTTGGCAGCTAGAGATTCTTTTGCTAAATTCCTTTAAAACAATGGAGCACAGAAATGACAATACCACTTAGGCAATTTGTTTTTGTCTGTCTTTGTGGCAAACTACAAAAAATCCTGGCTTTTCACTGGGAAGAGAATGTAGTGATACCAATTATTACGTAATTATGGGTTTCAAAATCTTCTTAACCACAGTCAGAAAAGGAAGGAGGAGACACACATCCCGTGTTTTGTTCTTATTATCAGCTTAAATAAGTCAGGCAGATTTTTCCTGTTATTTTAATATTTATCAGCATATGACAAAGAGGTGTGTTTAAATAGAAACTTTAAAGGGGAATGAAAAATAAATGGCTCAGAGCAAACAGAATAGAGAACCAGAGTGGCTGCTTTGAAACATGATTTTTCATGATAATAAGATCAGATTTTCACTTATTAATACTGTACTCATGTATTTCAATTGAAATCTAAAATAAAAGATTAAAAAAATCCACAATAATGTAAGCAGATTTAGCAACAAAGTAGTTCATTAGCAAAGCGTGATTGATTCAGACAACTGCTTTCTTGCACACAAGCAAGTTTGAGAGAGAAAAAGTGGAATCTTCTTAAAAGGCAGCTTCTCTATGTCCTCCTACTTCTTCTCTTCCTCCTCTACCTCCTTCTCCTTCTCTTTATCTTCTATATAAATAAAGGAAGTACAACTCATTTTAACAGCTAATTTTCAGAAGTCAAAAAACTGAGACATTTATTCTTGCAAATTGATCCTTCACGCAAAAGTCAAAAGAAATCTCTCAGTTTGAAATACATTTTTTTTCTCATTGTTGAACCAAGCTAATTCTCAGCTCTCATAGCTCAACACAAATTTTTCTTTTTTGAAAAGACATTTAAATTTTTTTTATATATAATTGTTCCTTAATTGTGTCATGGCATTGATTTAATTCTGCGATGCATTGTAACTCCTGGCTGGAATGGCTTGTCCATTGGAGCTGAAGCTCCTGAAGGTTCAGGCTGTGCTATATTCCTCTCTTTATCATTCCCAGTGTATCAACAGTGATTTTCACATAGTAGAAATGCAATAAATGCTGAATCAACCAGGACAACCACATAAAATGTGGGGACTTCAACTGGAGGAAAATGCTCATAAAATTAATTTTTTAATAATGAGCCAGTATTTTTATCTCTGTGACTATGAAAAATATTCAGTCATGCTTATCTTTCATATTAAAATCAATTGCTGCATTGAATAATTGTGCATACATGTTCAGTGTGTCTGTGCATGTTTTGAATAAAAAGAGTTAAATCTAGCTGGGTTTAGTGATGCATGCCTGTCATCTCAGCTTCTCTGAAGGCCAGAGGATGCAAGTTCATGGCTAGCCTAGGAAATTTAGCAAGGCCCTCAGCAACTTGGCAAAACCCTGTCTGAAACTGAAAAATAAAAAGGGCTGGGGATGTGGCTCAGTGGTAGAGTACCCTGGGTTCAATCCCCAGTACCAAAAAATAGACAATATAAAAGAGTTAAGTCTTGAGGAGGAAAACTGAGAAGAGTAATGATTTTTCAACCCAGGGAGAAGAGCAGAGTGGAAGCCATATGCTCCCAGGTTGAGGAAAATCAGGCAATAAATCCTCCTGGGGGTGTAGAAAATGCAAATTCTGGAGTCTAATGAGCATCTCCATTTGTCTCACATTTTGCCTTTTCACAAGCTTGAAATCCAGGCTTTCTCTGTGTGGTGCTCAAGGATTGAAACAGAAAGTTTTAAAAAATAGAAGAGAGGAAACTCTAAAACAAGGCAGGAACTCGAATTCTGTCACCTCTACGTATTCAAAATGGAAAACTGAAATAATTCACAGGATTTCAGGCCCCAAAACTATCTTCAATAGAGAAAAATCACATCATGTAATTTTTTAATTTTATTAAGGATTGTAGGAATGTCATTAATGTGAGGATTTACTCAGAAAAACAATTACCAAGTGATCTCTGCCTTTGAAATGATTCTTTGCTTTATAAAAGGATTGGAGAACTATTGCTTTTAATAGTCAGCACCACTGAGTCATATGAATGTGACTTGATTTATAATAAAATGAACCATATATAATATTTTAACAGTCAAACTGATGTGTAAAGTAGGATGTTCTATACTATTTTTTTTTGTTCTAGAATTTTCCATGAAACATGTTGAGTAGGAACATCACCACTTGTAGATCAGATATTATAAGAATAACTTAGAAGTCCATGGTTCATCGAAAAAGACAGCAAACCACCCAAATGATTAGAAAATTGTCTTAAGGACTTCAGCCCAGACTGCTGCAGGTGCAGTCTATCTCAGCCTGGGTATCTACAGGCTTGGTTTATGGTGGTTTCTAACATTAGTCAATTAGGATGCATTTCTAGAAGAGACTGTGTTCAGAGAGATAAAATGAGGTAGTACAGCATTTTCCAGTAAAGTCTGAAATGGGTTGACCTAAGTGAAAAAACTGGTTTCGGTAGGTTTTTTCCAGTGCTTCAGAAAATATATTTCTTCTTATATATATATATATATATATATATATATATATCCAGGCTATTCTGAAGGAGGAAATGACTCTTTACCAGTTGACAAATGAAAGGTTTTCTCCTGGAAAGCCTATTTTTCTATGTTGGTTCTTCCCATATCTTTTCTTGATTATGAGTATTTCTGAGATTTGAGTGGAGGTACCAGATGCAGGATCTGTTCAAGGAGTAGATGAGAGCTCAGTTTGGATTGTCTTTGAGTCTAAGCAATTCAGAAAGTCAAAACATTGATTCAGTTCTTATTCTTTGCCAGAGTTTCCAAGGCCTGGAAAGAGAAAGGGGCACAGGGCTGTCTGAGAATCCAACAATGGCCTGAGAGCTCATCTATGTCAGATGACTGGAAATGAAGCCTAGCACAAGCGGAACCTTTGCTTGGTTTCTACATTAAGCAAGAAATGTCAGGCAGGATTACAACACTTATGGGCAAATAGGAATAAAATCAATCTTGTTACCAAAGGCTGTGTCCAATCACAATAAAGGACAGATTGGAGGAAATGACAAATAGAAAAAGTAGAAATATCAAACTATGTTTTCCTCAGCATTTTTAATGCTGTGTGACCTGAATTATTGGGATAAGTGGCTTAATTACCCACCTTGAGTGTTTAAGCAACCTGCATACAAAATGATAGGACGAGTACACCAGAAAAGTCCCAAGTAATTCTTAGAATAATTCCCTAAATGGTTGTTTTGTAAGAATTGCTTTTGTCTAAAATAGCCCTCTTGTGAAAGTTTACCCCCAGAGCATCAACACTTAGCTGTTTATATTGATTTGCAATTATTTCATATATGTCTAAAATTAAGTATGGGCAGTGGCAAAAACATTAGCAAGTTAGCTAAAGTGTGAATAGTTAAAATGTTACCCTTGAACAAACATTGCCAAAAATAATGCCCTGTTCACT